AAGACTGGGAAAGTTACATTTTTTGGACTACAAAACCCAGAATCCACTGGCCACTGTGTTTTCTTGTTTTAAAAAATTAAAACAAAACAAATCTACATATACACTTACTGGTCTCCCAGGACCAATGGAGACAATCTATTCCTTCCTTTAATGGAGCCCCATCCCCCTTGTTTTATTTATTGATTTTTTTCTTTTAATAAAAACATAATAAAGTGAAATGAAAAGTTTAAAAAGTTGTGTGACAGATTTGAAACACTTTATAAAAACTAGAAGGAAAAAAAACAAGGTGTGGATTTCTCTCAGCTTGAGAAATGTAAAGGGTGAAGAAAATGGATTTGCAGACACACACACACACACAAAGCCATGTTCTCCACCCTTTGCAATTTCTCAAGCTGAGAGAAATCTGCTTGTGTGTGTGTGTGTGTGTGTGTTCCAGCTCCCACAAGCATGGGGGATAACTCTGCATGTGCTCCTGGACCTGGAAACGCATTCTGCACATGCCCCAGAGTCAGGGGTCAGGGCAGAAGGGGGGGATAAAAGTTCCTCCTGTTCCCCGGCTTTAGGAGGAAAGAGGGACCAGATGGCCCCCATTTCCCTGGCTTTGAATGGCCACCCCCTCCAAACCCCAGAACAGCCTCCCCTCCGGCAGGCAAGCAAGTGCACTCACTTCACGCCTGTCCAGGTTTCCATCCATTTCTCTTGCAACTTCCTGCCTTATTCGGCTCCAGGCAGAAGCAGCCATCTACAGCCTGGAGGGAGCTGTAGAGCTGGAAGGGGTCCCATCAGGTCCCTCCTGCTGCCCAGGCAGGATGAGGCCCCATCTCTCTCAGGGGCAGAGGCACAGCCAGGGGAGGCCCTGGTCGGGTTCAGATCCGCACTCCGGCTTCTGCGGCCTTTCCACAGAGAAGGAGAGCTTGGTTTTCACCTGCGAGGGATCCACGCAGCAAGACGTGCCACCACAAGCGTGTTCCCCAAATGGCTCTTTATTTGACCTGAGGTGCTACCTCCTGATTTCTGCGAGGTACGGCGGGCAAAAACAGCCAGGAGGACAGAATAAAATGCTGGTCGTTGGAGAAGACCTCTCTAAACGCAGGATTCTGGCCTGGTGGGTAATGCTTGGCCACCTGCTTCATGGGAAGACGGCACCAGGCCTTCCAAGGGACTGTGATTTATCCACTGGCAGGGTCAACGGTCGATCGCCGATTGAGGTGCTTTGCTTTGCTTTTTTCAGTGGGAGAAGAAACAGGGGAGAAATCCCTGTTCTGGCCTGACTGGCAGGAGACGAAACATGCCAGTTTCCCTTTTTTCTACCCAAACAGGACAACTGCATCACAAAGAAGGAGTTTTGATTTTGTACCCTTCACTCTGTATTGTATTGTACATAGCATCCCTTTCAAGATGGAACATCAACACTGCATTAACAGCTTTTTCCACCTGACAAAGCAAGGTATTGCCTACAGCAGCTCCGGCCGGGACAATCAAACCACGCCTGTTACGCTCAAAACAACACTATCACCTCCTTTAACGCCCCCCTCCCCATTTTTTAAACCAAAGAGTTTTGCTTCCATTAATTTTAAGACAAGCAACGTTGGGTTTTCATTCACTTGAGTACCTCAGAATGGATCTATGAAGGAAACTGCGAGATGCTAGTTTCTCACAACATAAAAGAGGTGCAGTCCTGTGACCCTGGATGGTCACACCACGCAGGGTTCTAAAAGAGATTCAGAGAAATCACTCAGATCCCATCAGGGCTGTTTCAGGGAGATCCGAGAGCAGAGTTGGCCTGGAAGTGATTGCCAAAGCCCAGAAGGGAAGGAGCCGCCTGCCTTTCAAAGCCGTACCAAACGTTCTCGCAGAATTGAAAGCAATCCTGAGGAGGAGCGCTTGGATTCTGCAGCATCTAAGTCAGAAAATATCTCAGGCTTTTCCTCTTAAGATCTCCAGGACCAAGTCCCAGGAAAGCTAGAGCTGGCAGGAGCAGGTAGAGCTGGCAGGGCAGAAAAGAGGGACCTGGTAGCTACAGGCTAGTCAGTCTGACATCAATCCCAGGGAAAATTCTGGAACAAATTATAAAAGGGGCACCACGCAAGTCCCTAGAAACAATGCAGTAATAACCAGAAGCCAACTTGGAGCTGTCAAGAACAAATCCTGACAGACTAACCTGACTTCATTTTTTTGATCAGGTCACCTCCCTGACAGAGGGAATGCGGTGGACATAGCATATCTTGACTTCAGCAAAGCCTTTGACGACGTGCCCCATGATACCCTGATTAGCTTGGGCTTGATAGATCAAGTGTCGGGTGGATACACAATGTTTAGCCTGGAGAAAACAAGACAGAAGGGTGATATAAGACTTTAAAAATACTTGAAAGGCTGTCGTACAGAGGAGGGGCAGGATCTTGATTATCCCAGAGTGCAGGACACATCATAAGGGGCTGAAGCTACAGGAAGCCAGATTTTGATTGAATATCAGGAAAAACATACTAACTGTTAGAGCAGTAAGACAATGGAAGGAATGGCCTCGAGAGGTGGCGAGCGCTCCAACACTGGAGGCCTTCAAGGGAAACTTAAGACAATCACCAGGCAGATATCTTTTGATTTGGATTCCTGCATCAAGCAGGGGGCTGGACTTGATGGCCTCATGGGCCCCTTCCAATGTCACTATTGTATGATTCTATGAATTTAAGGCACCAGTTCCCTGTAGGGAGAGGCAGAAGCAATACACACACCCTTGTGAGGACATGGGAGAAGAAACGCTGAATCAGAACAAATGCACAAAACAGAAACGCTGAATCAGAACAAATGCACAAAAGAGTCAGAAGACAGGAGCATCCACTAAACTCATCTGATTACCTGCATCAGCACTCCTTTGCCATTGGAAAAATGATGACGGCTGCCCATCATGTTTCTAACTCCAGATCAAGCAAAAAGGGAATCCCCCAAAATAGGCCAGCAGAAATTAGAAAGGCAGAGCAACCACAAGAAGAAAATGTGTGTGCTTTGCCCACTATATCTCAGACCATAACGGTCCTTTACCAAAGAAATCTAAATTCAGTACACAATGTTTTTTGTTGTAGAAATAAAAACTCCTTTACCTGAAACCACAGTAAATCATAACTGGGACGTGGTGGCGCTGCGGGTTAAACTGCAAAGGCCTCTGTGCTGCAAGGTCAGAAGACCAGCTATCATAAGATCGAATCCATGCGACGGAGTGAGATCCCGTCGCTTGTCCCAGCTACTGCCAACCTAGTAGTTTGAAAGCATGCAAAATGCAAAAAAGGCGAGTAAATAGGTACCACCATGGTAGGAAGGTAACTGCGTTCCGTGCCTAAGTCGCACTGGCCAAATGACCACAGAAACTGTCTTCGGACAAATGCTGGTTCTATGGCATGGAGATGGGGATGAGCACCGCGCCCTAGAGTCGGGCACCACTGGACTAAATGTCAAGGGGAACCTTTACCTTTACAGTAAATCATGAGAACAGATATCCCCCCCCCAAGTATAATCATGAGCTGCTATGATAAAATGGATTTCTCTGTATTAATATGAAATTGGAGCCTCTTTTTTCCTGTCAGAGGCCTTTAATATGTAGTTATAAGATCATCATAAACACACTATTTTGAAATAACTTTCATGTGTATTTATTATTCTTGTAGAAAGAGTTTATTGTGGTTTCATGTAAAAGAGAGCAGTAGTTTTAACAAAAAGGTGTTTGTATATTGCTTTGAGAGTTCTTTGATAAAGGGCCCTTTTCATTTGCCTTTGTTTCATACAACCCTACTATTTTCAATCTCACCCCCCATGTGCACATGCACAAATGCACCCCCCCCCCAAAAAAAGGAATGTAAAGACCTCACCCGACCTCTGCAGTCTCAAACCTGCTGGAGCAGCTAAGGGCTGGCAGAGATGCATCTTGTCCACTTTGTCAGGCAGGCACCAATCCACCCACCCAGGAAACCTGGCATGCCGAGCTTTCATTGCAAAAAGCCAAGGATAGAGTTCTAAAACCCAAAATAGGTGCAAGAGGGCGGAGTTTTAGTTGCCTACTAGCAGGCCAGGCCATCAGTTCTCCCTGTGGCCTGCCCAATTGACCAGCCACGGGCACACAGATGGCTTTGCTGACCTACAGTTGGGCCTCTTCTCTCATCCTCTCCTCTCCAGGCACGGCTGTTCCCTTCCCACACACATCTGCGGTGGCGGCTCAAACTTTCAGACTCATAAAGGAGGTAGTCCTGAAAAGTCACCCACCAGAGGGAGGGAAGGGCAGTCCTGAGATCCAACGCCCAGCAAGATCTCCTGCACCCTCTCCCTGCTTCTACTTGAGAGTAGGGATTTGCCCTGTGCGCTCTTCCCACATCCAGGCAAGCTTCCTGCTGGGCCCAGAAAGGCCTGAGGGGCTGTTTCACAGGAGATCCACAGACTTTTCCCAGGTGGCAGGTGAGGTCACGGTCACCGGCTGGCTCCATAAAAGCTTTCCCTGCAAGGCAGAAGAGCTCGCGGGGCAGCCCCTGCTTGAGAGCAGGCGGGAGAAGCATCGGGTCCAGAACACGGGATGGAAGAGACTCGGGTCCAAATGGGAAGGGCCAGCGGGTCGCTCCGCAGTTCCCTGGAGGCCAGCTTCTCCTCGGCTCCCTTCCTGCTCCGGCACTACCTGGACTGAGCAAGGATGACCCTCTTGAACCAGGCGCTGACGGCGCAGTCCACCCGCAGCACGAGGCCGATGCCCAGCAGGAGGAAGAGGCTGCTCACCACAAAGCCCAGGGCTTCAAAGAGGAACCTGGCGGAAAAACAGAAGTGCCACGTCAGGGACCAGCCGCCTGGGCAGCCCTTGATGGGCCCAGAAGACGACCCACGTGAAGCCCTCTAGCGCCAGGGGTCCCCCATAGAGGTTCCTGGGCTGCCCACTCCCAGAAATCCTAGCCAGCGCAGCTCGTGCCCAAGGCTTCCGGAAGTTGCAGTCGGAGGTCAGCTGAGGACTTGCAATCAACTGGGCGGTGGCTTTATTAATTAATTAATTAATTAATTTTGTGGGAGTCGTTTTAAAAGTGATTTCATGGCTTTTACTCAGACCTGTATAAGTGGGTTCATAAACAAACTAAAATACATTGTGCGGGACTGGGAAGGGTGTCTCTCCCCCCCCCTTCCCCGAGTGGCAAGAGTGGGCTGACCACCTCTCAGAGGGCACGGCTGGAGACTCCTTCCATGCAGTTACTGTCTCCATCGTCCCTGTGGGCTGGGGTGATGGCCAGAGAGAGGCAGGCCACCCTCTCGAGGCCAAAGGCATAGCCGTGGCGGGACCTGGCTCAGAAGAGGAATGCAAGACGGCCGAGGAAGACCGAAGGCTGGGCGGCGAAGGCCAGGAGGGGCGGCTGCTACCTTAAAGAGGAACCGCTGGATGGGAGGTGGGACACCCCTCTTATCCAGAGACCGGGCATGGGGGCGAGGGGTTGGTGCTGCCAGAGACAGCTGCCCAGCCTGGAGGCATGAGAACCACCGCCAACGGAGGAAGCAGCAGAGGGGGGCGAATGCCCTCCCCCAAGTCAGCTCGGCTTACTGGCCTCCATCAGGTCAGCTTCCGGCTCCTCCTCACCTCGTGGTCCGCTACACCAAAGAGGCCAGCCAGGTCCGGGTAGAGTTTGGCTCTCCCTCTCTGAAGAACGGCCACCCTTATGGGATGGCGGCTGCCTGCTGGGCCTGTAGAGGACTGGTGGGGGAAGGAGCCTTTGCCGCTCACCTCCAGGGACAACGGGCAGAACGCACTCAGCGCCTGTGTTGCGGCACCCCTTGCCTGGGGGCGCCTGCCAGGGGCCCTAGACCGGGTCAAGGGTTAGAGGGAGGCTCTGCCTTTGGTTGGGGGCACTGGCTCCCAAGACTGTGGGGATGAAGCTAACTCCCTGGCACTCTCAGTTGCCTGTTTCATGTTCTTGGCCCTTTAAGAGTTCCCTTGCTCTCCAATCAACAGCTTGTTCCAGCAGCCATTCTCCATTGTCCTGGAAAAGCAGGGCAGGGGCCACCCACACATAAACAACAACAATAATAACAGTCTTAATGGCAGAGCTGGAAGGGACCCTCCTCTGGATCCTCAAGTCCAGCCCCTCAAGGAGGTGGGGGGCATTCGAACTCCCAGCCTCGGGCTCACCAGCTCCAGAGACCTGGAGGGTTGCTTCACACCTGCTAGAAGGACTGCACTCTTCGTCCCTTGCTCACATGCCTGAAGGGCCTAAACTTGCAGCCTGAATCACACAGAGCAGCCAAGATGGGCAAAGGACCTCACTGGCCAGGTAGATGCACAACCCAGGAAGGAAGCAACTGACTGGGGACTGCCGTGCCCCTGAATCTACCCGTCCCCTGCCCGGCTCCACCACCACCACCACCTCATATCGCCGTATGGCCTTCCCGGAAAGGAAGCCCACCTTACTCACTTTGGGGCAAAGACTTTCCAAACCATAAGATGTCTCCTGAGGATAATGGCTGCCAGGACACAAGCCAGAAGCTGTTGGAAAAAGAGGGAAGGGAGAGAGGGAAGGGAGAGAGAAAGTGGGAAGGAGGGGTGCAGGGAGACGGCATCAGGCTGGGTGCGCACAAGGGAGCCACAGCACGGCTAAGAGGGGCGGCACTGGTTGAAGCAAGGGACTTTGTGCTTTGCTGGAACACCGTCCCCCCCGCCCCCGCCCCTCACCCTCTTACGGCTTGGCTTTGTGCCCTGGCACAACATTGACAGTGAGATCTCTGGATGACTTCGAGCTGCTTTCCAAGCGACCGCACTCAGGACACGGATGAGGCAGGAGGCCAAAAGGGAACTCGGCGGTGCCAAGTGCCTCAGGCTCACACTGGTTGGTCTTCCACAGATGGCCGTTCAGATGAGGCAGGAGGCCAAAAGGGAACTCAGCGGTGCCACTGGTTGGTCTTCCACAGATGGCCGTTCCCAGGTACAGTCAGCCTGGCGGCCTTAGCTCAAGCACTGGTCACTTCCAGCTCAGACTGCGGCAGCGCACTCTCCGTGGGGCTCCTCTTGGAGACCAGAGAGATCCTGCAACGATCGCAATTTGCAGCAGCTCGACTTCTAGCGGGGACACCGGGCAGGAGCCAGGCGAGATCAGTTCTGAAAGGATTGCACGGGCAACCAATTCATTTCCAGAGACAGCTCAAGATGCTGAAGATGACTCACAATGCTGGTGTGGCCTGGTTACCGAACAGAATGACTTCCCTTCTACGTGACCAGCCTGATCACGAAGACCGGCTTGCAGGAGCGGCAGCTCTTTCAGCAACCACCATTCAGGAGAGAAAAGGGAGGGCTCTGGTTGTGGAAAGCTTTCGTCCGGAAGGCCTGGTTGGTGCCAAGGACTGTTCCCTTTTGCCACCCGGTTGAAGCAAAGGTTTAAGCTGGAAGAGGTTGCTGAGGTCTGCAACGTATGTGCGGTTTCACGGTTCAAGGTTTAAGCCCTCTTTTGTGTGTTAAACACAATCGAACAGTATGGAACGTGAAAGGAGCTGAACGCAGTTTAAACCCTTTCAAGTGTCATGCTGTTTTCCTTGTGGCCTGCTTTGCCTTCTTATGAAACAGAGCAGGCCCAAGAAAAGACAACAATGCGAGGGAAAGTGGAAGGCTTGTTGGAAAAGACGAAGGCCAGATGTGGGCCGGACTGACTTCGTAAGTCACCAGGGATCCTTTTTAGGAGAGAGGCAGGGTGAACATGTTTTTAACAAATAAATAAATGAAGTCACAGCCTTGAGTTTACAAGAGGGGCTGTTGTAGACAGGCCATTTTTCTGGAGGTCACTCATTCATAGGAGTGCCATAAGTCAGAAGCGACTTGACAGCACGTACCAAGAGATAATTCTAAATAAGGAACCAGGATAAAATTCCCAGTGGGGGAAAAAACAACAACAGCATGCTGAAAGACCAATTGAGTTAGCCCGGTGGCACTGGACCCTCGCCCTGGGGTTACTTGCCATGCATGCTGAGGCGTAGACAGGCTGCAGAAACAGCTCTGGAGGGAAGTGCCCTGGCAGCCCTCCTGCCCCCCCCCCGAAGCCAGGCTCCACTGGCTCGCCTGCTGTTCTCTCTGCTCTCTCCTGTCCTGCGGACACAGGGGTGTCGTGTTCCTGCGGGACTTTCTTCACCTCCCCTTCACCTCCCTTCTCCCCTGGGCAGCCCTCGCGGTCTCTGACGGAGGCTTTGCAAGGCTGCTGTCCCCGACATGTGCCAGCCAGCCGGCCAGCCGGCCGGCCGGCCAAGCCTTCAGAAGCGAAGCCCCTGCCCGTCATCCTGGGCGTCTCGACCTTCCCTTCTGGCAAAGCCTTCCTGGGGCTCCGCCTCCCAGGAGGTACCTGGGCTCCAAGGACAAGGAGGTACTTGAGTCCCAACTGCAGCAGCGCCGCTGAGAACTTCTCTGGGGCTTCCCGGAGCCGCATCTCCATCATCTGCTCCTCCCTGCTGTGAGTCTCCCCTTTGGGCCTCCTGCCCTTGGCGCCAGGGAGCGTCTCACAGACAAATGGCCACAGCAGAAGCAAAGGGCAGCCGGCTACCTCGGGAGAGGAAAAACAAGTGGGGGGGGGATCACTGAGAGAGAAAACGGGGAGTCACAAACATACCAACTGAGCATGCCTGTTCCCAAGGGGAGCCCAGCCTCAAAACCAGGAGGAAACGTTCTGCACAGCCCAGTGCAAACTTCTCCAGAAGACGGAAAGGATGCACGTTCCCGGGAGGGGCTCTGTGAGGAGGGGGAGCCCAAATGGAAGCCCTCCTTGTCGGCCACCACCCCCCACCCCAACGCCAAGCAGCTGAGAAAGCGGGAGGACTCCCACCGCCCCACCCAGACAGCCGCACAGCCCCTCCTGAGCCGGGAGCAGGAAGGCCGGCCAGGGACTCACCCGCGAAGAGGATCTGGGAGGCAAAGGTGTTGGCCCCAACCAGCAGGGCCGGGAGGACGTTGCCGGTGTGACCCTCTTGGAAGCCCACAAAGGCCGCGTTCCAGTGGATGGTGGGGAAGACGGGCTGGTGGCCTGTGGCATAGAAAAACTGGGCGGCCGCCAGGGCCCAGGCCACGGGAGCCTCCCAGGGCACCACGAAGGGATCTGAGAAGAGGGAGGAGGAGAAGGAGCGGCACTTTTACACGCTGCATATTTAATTTGTAGATTTTCACATCTCCCCATTAACATATAAGCTATATTCTAATAATATAGAACAACATTGTCAAATAATAAGAGTAAAAAAAAGGAAAACAAACCATTCCAAAGGCTTAGCCAGTGGCTGGGAGCATGAGGTAATGGGGCCAAGGGAGCAGCAAAGGCTTTGCCCACCCAAAGACGGTCCTTCTCCTCCCTTTCCTCTGTGGCTCAGGCGGCTGCAGGCCCTGCCTACCCTGACTGAACCTTCCCCACAAATCTGTGCTCTGAAGCAGGTCAGGCTGAGGTGGTGACTGGCCCGACGCCACGGGGTGACCGTCAGGGCCAAAGGAATGGCAGCCGGCGTTCCTCCAGCCTCTTTCAGGAGCCAAACGGTGCCACCATGCGGGCGCAGCTCTGGAGGGGGAGCCCAGGAAATGGGACGGCGGAGACAAGAGGCTGCTGGCCAGAGACTCTCAACCTGCTCGGCCGGCTGGCTACCCAGCAGCCCCTCAAGGTTGCCCAGCCCGGCATCCTGCGGGGGGAGCTGTGCCCCCTCCGCCTACAAAGACTGCAACCCTGCAAAGCCTCTTGCCACAGCGTAAGAGGGCAGCAAAGCCCAAAGGCCCTTCCACACGCTGGGCACCTTCAAGGCTTCAACGGCATCCCACTGAGGAACACTCGGGGTCCTGCCTGCCTCCATTAAAGGCGCCAGAGGACTCGGACGCAAGGAACAGAGATCTGGAGAAGGCAAACAGGGCCCTCCCAGCAGTCCTCCTCGGGGAAGACCAGCAAGGGGCCCACGACAGGCGGGGGGGCAACTATTGGGACGCCTGGACTTGTTCCGGCATCAACGGGCGAGGCGGAGGAGACGACCCTCGAGACCTTCTGATGACAGGATTCCCAGACGATGACACGTGGAAGGGGTTCCGCTTCCGCGCCAGCCCACCTGTCCAAACATCTGCCCGTTGGATCTCCGTGGGGTTGCCCCCGCCGGGACCCTTTCCCCGCTCACCTCTCCTCTGTATCCAGACCTGAAGCCGCTTTGGAAAGACCCTTGGCCCTGGTGACTGGCGCCTGAGGGAGCGGGGGCAGTCCCCAGGGCGGGATGCCCTCCAGCCCCTCCACAAACCCAACCAGTTCATGAGTGAAGACCTCCGTGACCCCCCCGGCCCTCCCCCAACTCACCCGCCTGTGCAGAGCCGGAGGAGAAGGTGGCGGCGAGGATCCAGAGCAGGGCGAAGGCCTGGAGGAAGAGGAGCAGGAAGGCCAGGCTGAGGCGCTCGTGGTGCAGCGTCAGGAGCAGGAAGGCCAGCAGGGCCAGGCCGATGAGCAGGGCCGCCGAGTAGACGCTGCCCAGCCCGTACGCCGCCACCGTGGGCCCGCCTCCCGGCTTGGCCTCCTCCAGGCGGCTCCTCAGGGACTCCTGCATCCGGCGGTAGAGCTGAGGGATGACCAGGAGGAGCTCGGCCTCGGAGCTGGGGGAGGCGAGCGGGGGGTCGGCCCCCGCCGGCTCCCGGCTGTCCCTCACCAAGACGGTCACCGGGTCCCAGAGGAGGAGGAGGAGGCCCGCCCCGACCAGGCCAAAGACCCCCCGGGGGAAGGCCACCAGCGCCAGCTGCACCCACACGCGCAGCTTGGCCAGCGCCTCCTCGGCCCCCGAGGTCACGGCCCAGTAGCCGCCGATCCAGAGGGCCAGCAGGGGGAACCCCCAGCGGACAAAGAGGACGGGGGCGCTGGGGCGGTTGAGGTTGCCGTAGTGGCGCAGCCAGCCCTGCACGGCCCCCACCAGCCCGGCCAGCCCCGCCAAGCAGAGGAGGTACTGGAGGTTCTTCGCCTGGGGCTCCTGCAGGCTGGAGAGCGGGGCCAGGAGCGAGGAGGACTGGCAGCCGGGCGTCTCCTCGCGACACTGCCGGAAAAGCCCAGAGAGGCGCGCGCACGCCAGGACGACCCCTAGCAGCCCGAGCACCGGCAAGCCAAGGGGCGAGCCTTCCAGAGCGCCCTGCCAGTGCAGCCTCAGCACCAGCGCCAGCGCCAGCGAGACTAGCAGGAAGGGGGCCACCTGGGCCTCGGCCATCACAAAGCTGTCGGACAGCATGGCACCACAGCGCAGGAACAGCAGGCCGAAGGGCAGAGCCGGCCCTAGCCATGCCCGCCGCCTTTCACTCAGGCTGGGTCCCGCAAACGGAGGGTGGGCGCCGCCCGTGGAGGCTCTCTGGGACTCTCGCCTGGCCCAGCACTGCCAGAAGAACCCCAACTGGGAGGCCGCAGCTGCCCAGGAAGAGAGCAGGAGGAGGTCCACTCTGGCCCACCCGGAGAGGTGTGCAAACCCCAGGAGAGCCGCTCCGGCTGCCCCCGAGAGCAGAGGGTAGGCCAGGAGGTGGCGGTAGGAAAAGTTCAGTCCGGCAGCCGCCCGGCAGGCCAGCCAGCAGAGCAGGCAGGCGGAGCCCAGGAGGCCACAGCCAGCGACCATGCGGACCGGGTGGAAGCGGGCCCAGGACTCGGCGCAGACGGCCCGTGCCTCCTGGAGGTACTGCTGGAAGCGGCTTCGGAGAGTCTCCAGCTGAGGAAGCCCCGGAGAGGCTGCCTGGGCCAGGAGCCGCTCATGCTCCTCCACGGCGGTCGCGAAGAGGTCCCGGAGCCGCTGCAGCTTCTCTGCCGAGATGTCTTGGGCCACCCGGGAGTAGGAGTGCAGGAAGCGGTCCACCTGTAAAACAGCCGAGGGCCTCCGTCACTGGGCCCTGGAGGCCAGGCCCCCTCCTCTGTGGGGAGGGGATGGAACTTAACCCAAGGGTGGCCCATGGGACACCCGAGGCTGCTCGGAGGGAAGGAGGAACAGGCAAAGTGTCCCCCACCCCCACCCCTGAAGGGACTGGAAGCCATTATGGAAGGGTGAGGATGACCCCACCCGTCTTCAGGAGGGGGAGGGAACCGGGGGCCGGTCCTCTCGTCCAAAGGCCCGCCCACCACCCAGGGGCCTCGGGAGCGGCTCTCACCTGCCAGGCGTTGAGGCGGTAGGCTGCCAGCTGGGCCAGGGTGGAGGCAGCTCTGTCTCCCTCAACCGCAAACAGTTCGGCCATCACTTCCCCAATGTTGTTGTAAGGCACAGGGACGCCCAGCAGGAGGGCCAGCGTGGGGACCAGGTTCACCTGCGGGACGGTTTCTGGCTCCTGGGGAAGGAACACAAGGGAGAGATAGCGACGTTGGGCCTGCCGGAGGAGGTGGAGAACACCAGCGCCCAAGGCAGGGAAGTGGCCCGACGCCCAGCCAGCAGCTTCCCTTCCTTCCCGTCCTTTTCCCCAGGGAGAAAAAACGCCCGGGGGGTGCCCAGGGGGCTCCCGGGGCTGCATCACCCAGCTTTAAGGGGCAGTGAGCATGGAAAAGCCCCCACCCCCAATAGGAGTCAGCTGTGGGGTGGGAGAAAACCCCGCAGCCAGCTCCTGCCTCGCGCACGACTGCTCCCGCCCCCTCGTGGGAGACTGGAAACCGCAGGGCGTCCACCCTACTTCCCGAGGAGCCTCCCGAGGGGCTGAAGGGTGAGACCCCCAAGGGCGCGCAGGCACCCGCCTGGCCCCTCACCTCGGGTGGGGGGCTCTGGAACAAGGGCGCCTTGCTGTACACAAAGAGAGCCGCGTTGACCTCCTCTTCACTGTCCCCACCGTGGTCCCCGGTCCCGGTCATGCCGTGGTCCCCTGCCACCAGGAGCAGCGTGTCATTCGCCAGGTGGTCAACCAGTGACCTGTCCATCAACAACAGGGGGCTTCAGCTGCCTCTCTGTGCCAGGGCCAAGCCCCCCCCCCCCCGGCTCAAAGCAGGTGTGACGCGCTGCCCTCCTATGTCTGTGCCACCTTCCGGAGCATCCATCCTTTTGAGCCCAGTGGCTCACCCTGTGAGAGGCTACCCTCTGCCCCCCAAACGGTTACCCCCCAGCCGAGTGGCTGCTCTGCCCTGCAAGAGGAACCAGTGGCCAGGCATCGGGTTGAGAGGGCACGGACCTTGGCTGAAGCCAAAAAGGACAGGGGCCAGGGAGCCCATCCAGCTGGGGAGCCTCTTCTGGGTCCCTCCCCGGAAAGCTCTTTCCAGAGGGGCCGTGGGGTAAAAGCAGGAGTATCTGGGCTCATCCCCTCCAGAATAGGAGCCTGGCGGAAACCCTGAGCGCTCTTCTTATTTCCGAGAGCTCCCGTCACCCGCTCTTCCTCTCGGGAGTCTTACCTGAGCATGGCATCCATCTGGGAGAGCTTCTTGGCCATTTCAGGGTGGTCCGGCCCATGCTTATGACCACAGTGATCCACGCCTAAAAAGTGGGCAATTAGCAGGTCCCACTGGCTGCCTTCCACTGCACCCCAAGTGAGAGAGAAAGAAAGAGAGAGAAGGAAGAGGAGAGATTTGTCTGCCAAAGAGATGAAACTCAAAGCATCCGGAGCATCAGGAGGACTTGCATAGCTCCAAAATGTGTTCTTAACTGGATGGGGAAAAGGAAGTATGTTTTGAAGGTGGACCCAGTGGAGTGAGATAGCTTTAGAAGTTGAATCCACCTAGATTTCCCATATATCTGGATCCCGCAGCCTCGGAAAATCTACAAGTGTCCACACAGAGCCGCTGGACTGACCAAAGTCCTATCGTGAAATAGTGTACACAAAATCAGACAAGTCATTTTTTTGTGGTTTTCATGCCATCTTATCACATAACCAGGCACAGGATGGAGCACGAGATGAACATCTGGTAGGATCAACATGATGGACCCGTGCCCGAAGAGCAGCACGGCCTGCCTGCCGGATCCTCCGGTTCCATGTCCTACTGTTGACATCCAAGCCCTGAACACCTTGGGGCCAGGATACCCAGCAGTCCCCCCCCCTTTCTTAGGGTGGCCGGCCAGCTCTGGGTGCCTTAACGGCTGCCCAGCAGCCTCCCGAAGAGAGTTGGGACCCACCCTGGGAAGGACGAGAGCTCACCTGTCTGATACAGATGCTGCAAGATGCCATCATCCACCGTGTGGAGATCCTTCACGTTGAACGAAGGGAAGAAGTATGAGCGGAAGAAGGCTCGGGGGAAGAGTCCGTCCCAGGTGTCGTCTCCCATGAAGACCACCCTCCTTCCTGCAAGAAGGACGGGGAGCTGTTGGCGAAGCACATCCCGCCCACCGAGAGGGAGCCCAGCCATGGCAAAATCCCAGCGCCCCTCCCTTCCCCTCATCCCTCCGGACTTTTTCTGGGAGGGCAGGCAGAGAGTTCTTCTGGGGCCCCTGGAGCTTGCTCCCTTCCCCTGCTGACACCCTAACCCTCAACCTCTCTAGGGCTCCCTCTCTAACATCCAGACCTCAGCCCCACACGTGCACGGGCCGATCGGCTCTTTGAACTGAGAACATTGTGGAACAGCATAAGGACCCAGGAGACACGAGAAGCTACATCTGTGGCCCAAGAGAGTCTGGCGAAGAGAAAGAAGCAGCAGCAGGCCCACAGCGTTCCCATTCTCCCTTTCCAAAAAAACAAGCCAGCTCCTCCTTCTCCTGCTGCATGTGTCCAGTCTTTAGGCTACAGCGTGTCCAGTCAGCGTGACAGGCAGCTGAAAGAGCCTCTTCCCTCACAAGCCATCCGAGCAGGGGCCGCTGAGGCCGCCCAGTCCAACCCCTGGCCTGCTTGCAGATCCCCCCCCAAACCACCATAGGCACCACCCCCAGATCAAGAGAACAAGGTCTTCCCTTTTTATCGCCTAGAAGAGAAGAAAGCAACCACTCCCTCCTATCCTATCTTAGACAAGGTGAGACCTTACGGGGCACATCTGCAGCACAAAACCGAGCCCTTTGCCGCTACGAAAGCCAAGGAAGGAAAGAAGCTGGAGGGGGAACAGAGACAAAGCCTTAGAACCAGAGCAAGGGATAACCCAACAGGATGTCGTGAGAACACTGAACTAGGCGTGGGGAGACCTGGGTTCATTTCCCTCCTTGGCCACGAAACTCCCAGGTGGATTTGGGGCCAGTCAAAGGTCCTCAGGCTGACCAAACTCACAGGCTTGTTCTGAAGAGAGAGGCGGGTATGGAGAAATCCCTGCAGGCCACCATCAACTGGCAGGAATAAGATAAATGCCACAAGCGGAGAAGCCCAAGCGGCAGAGGGGAACCGACCTCCTTTCCTGGGCCTTAAGAAAAGGCGATGCAGGTGTCAGGACAAGGAAATCTGAGGCAGAAAGCGAGGGTCACCCTCAGCACCGCCCTTTTCTGGAGGCACCCACCGTTCTGTGCCAGCTGCCAAACCAGGTTGTCTTCCTGGATGGCGTAAGAGGCGAAGTTGCTGCCGGCGTCGATGAAGGTGGGCAGGGAGCCCGTGGTGATGCCCTTGATGCGCTGCATGGTGGTGGTGGGCGGGTCGGCCCGGAAGCGGTACAGGCGGCCGTGGCGGGGCTGCCGGCCGGCCAGCTGGTGCAGGAACGGCAGCTTGTTCTCGTAGGGCCGCGGAGCC